TCTGATCTTACTTCTTAAAATCAAATCAGAGCACTGACTTCATTAGTCTCAAAAATAAATTTTAGAGGTACGATAACCCATAAGGATTTATTTAACTGATTTGAAAAGATAAAATTGACTCGACTGTACATTTGCATGCGTACCTCAAAAAGACTTAACGAAAAGTGATATAATCTCCAGACACACTGAAATATTTTTTTAAATAATGGAGGTTGGTGTCTTATCTTATCAATTCTTATTGCACTGATTGCAATTAATCTAAAATTGGAAGTAAAAATTATGCGAAGTTTGCGCCACCAATTTTTGACTTATTTTAGTGGAAGTGTAGTGGAAGAAATTGACATGTAAAGTTAATTATATCAGTGAAAAGTGTTCTGAAACCTGACACTCTATCGTCTTCTTCTGTAGGCACAGAATGAAATGAGCAAATTTTCATCTGTAAAATGCATAAACTGTTTTTGTGTTTCATTTACAATTAGCAACAAAACAAGACAATTACTGACTACGTTTTAAGTCTAAGAAAGTAGTTGAAGCACTGGTTACAATGATTGAAATCGTAAGTAATATAGACAGAACTGAGTTATAAAGGACAACAGTATAACAACTAATTAATTCTATAGCAAAAATATTGAAAAAATTGTTTCAAAAATGCTGATATCAGTTGAAAAATATCATTCCAAAGCTGACTGCCTTCTGCCAAAAACCACTTGCCATTTACAAATATAGAAATAATGGAATCCGTTAATTTTTGTAAAGTTTTCAGAATCCAAAATGATGTCAGATTATTAAGGATGCTAATATCCCTCAAGTATACAACAACTTAGAAACAATAACAATACCGAAAAAAGTGAAAATTCTTGAATATTCAATAAAGCAAATTTACCAAAATTGACTTTTCACATTTCAACACAGCACTAATAGTCTTATTAGAATCTATTCTTCAACTTAAAATTACTGAAATGAAATGGAAAATTATTTTAAAGTGGTAGAGAACAGCGAGAAACATTTGAGTAAATTCCAGACCAATTTCTTCAATGTCAAACAGGTTTTCCACCAATGGCATGTGTGTATATCTGTGTGTAAGTATACCTTTGATCTGTTTAAGATACCGCGCAATCTGAGAGCTTTGATTATGGACAATAAAAGTGTTGACAGTGGTATGATTCAATGCACTGCTAGTTCTTACTTCACGCCATGGGCAACGGTCATTGCGATGTTCGCAATCTACATTCTTGCACTGCTTTGGTTATTCAAATGTGATTTTTTGATCTATTTTTCGCACAAGAAGTGCATCTGATAAGAAGCAAACTTTTCGACTAACACTTCGTAAATTAAAGTAGTACAGCAATGAATGAAGCAATCTAAGTGTGTTTCACGACAATTATTTTGTGAAATTCATTTGAAATTCGGAACCTCAGGATGGAATTTACGGACACGTATTCATTCCCACTTTAATCACTGATTCGAACTTTCATTTATTTGATATATGAAGCTAAAATAAAATGTAGATATTCTTTAGATGGCAAAAATCTCTGCTTACCTGCACCTGATTCCATCTACCCGTATCAGAACCGTTTAAAATTTCTTAAAAAAGGTAGGTGAAATTAACTGCTTGCTTTATATGTCTGCAATTCTTGCAAATTGAACACTGCAACAAAAATTCCCATAAAATATTTAGAATAAAACTCATAATTACTAATTTAGA